GTAAGTGAGCCTCATTCTCCGAATTAAGTATTTTGGATGATTTTTCTAAATTTTGTTTTTATTCCTGATTAGGAGTATAATTATTTGTTTTAACTAGATATTGAGATAATTTTTTATTGTATCTCTTAGTTATTTATTGCATATCTTGCCCAATAATAGTATACATTTTTGGAATATCTCTTTGCGAAGGGCAGATTTTTAAAAACTATTATGATCAACCTCCTTAGCCATTTATTCTCGTCTTGGTATACTTTATTGACTTTGCCAAGGATAATTTATTTGTATTTGTATGTATTTATATACGCATAAATCAACCGTCCTAATGCCAAACAACTCCTATTTCGGTTTGTTGTGTGATAATTTACTTCCATCTAGTATTTAATATACAATGAAAGGCCCTATTGCATAATATATTCAAGTTGCCTGTATATTATTACCTTGGTATCGTGGTATCCTGGCTTTACCTGTAGGTAATCGTAATCCTAGTTTCTATTACTGCTTACCTTACTCTTAATTTCCATTCCCCTAAATCTCAATTAATTTTCTCCCTGTACATTCACTGATTTACTTTTATTTGGACTGAGTAGTTAAATATCTGGGGCTCCTTGCCATGACAAAGATTCTCCGGCACCATCCGCGCAGTGTACATGCACACAAGGACCTCCTTCTGCATTGCCTTGAAGACCGAGACGAGTCCATTCGTCTCCGAGCTCTCGGTTTACTTCAAGGCATGATTACTAAGAAGAATCTTATCGAGATCGTGCATCAGCTGGTTCGCCACGTGCAAGCTGCCACTGGTGGTGCGCATTACAAAGCTGAGTTGGTCGCCCAGGTTGTACAGATCTGTGCCCAGAACAATTACCACTATATCACCTCCTTTGAATGGTATTGCTGCTTTCTCTTTTTCTAGTATCTCCATTATTTACCTGAGCAGATACAGATACATAGCATCAATATTTATTAAATTATTTTTTTTCATTTCTTAGAAAGAATGCCAAAATTGTTACCACATATATTCTATCGAATCCTTGCGACCATCGATTACGTTTCCTTATCTCCTTGCCTCTCTCCAGGTATATCAGTGCATTGGTGGAGCTTACTCAGATGGATGGGACCCGAAACGGTGAACTTTTGGCTGCTCAGTTACTTGATGTGGCTATTCGAGTAGCCTCAGTCAGACCATTCTGCGTAGAACAAATGGTGATGTTGGTCATGAATATTATCTATTCAATTTGTTTCTACCATTATTTTAAAGAAATCTATTTTTCTTTTAAAATACTTTGTAATAAAAATCAATCTTTAATTTTATATCTTAAAAAATGTTTTACATTCATATATATATATATATATTCCAGACTGCCTTCATTAGCATGGGCATTTTTATATGTCATAATGAATACATCCGCATTTATCAGCAGAGTTCTAGGCAATCAAAGAGGCATTGTAATTTCTTACTGCATACTGATCACTGATGACCCATTCACCTGATTCCATACAGAATTAATAGATTAAAATATAAGCCTCAAACAAAATATAGAACTTTATCATATTGGTTTTGCAGCTTGGTGATATTTACAGGAAGATTAGAGGAGCGTACCTTGTCGAGAGTCCATAGTATGTATGATAATTTCCAGACGTTTCACCAGCATCATCAGTGAGCTTTACCATTCTTAGCACCAAACTACAACTCGTCAAATAGACAAATGAGGTCTATCCCTTGACCAGCTTTCTGTTGATACAGTTGTTCTATCACACTTCAACAATTATGAAACAAGGGAGTCCTCGAAACCCAGCTTTTCTTCGCATATACAATCACTCCTCGTTCTATCCTAGTCCATCTAATCCTTTCCTACCCCCTTGTTTCGCAATCGTCCTATCATAACTTTTGATATGTTTATATTCCACAATAGATGTTCCCTTTTGGCAAGTTTACCTTAGCGTCATCACACCTGCTGTTTGCCTTACGTCCCTTCCGAGTGGCAGATTCGATCCGGATCCTCCTGTCCGAATCTGCCTCATGGGCAAAACAAGACTAAGATTTCGGCGAAACGCCTGGCGATGTACCAAGTCTATGGTCCGACTGAAGATTATCATGTATACTATGGTCTCCGGACAAGGTGCGCTTCTCTAGATCTTCCTGTAAATATGACTAAGTTGAGAAAGCAATGAAAAAAAACACCTATACAACGAAAGGAGACCACGAACATACAAAAGGCCACACCATCATGGTCTTCTCACCGGTTCAAACAAAATAGTCGTTATTTAATCACTTTAAAAGCCTTCAGATTTAGCATTATTTTCCATTAATGACTTATGGCTCTATAAAGAAAATTCCCGTGCATTATTATATGATTATAGCTTAGGACAAATTCATTACTTCTGGGATCGTAGTAATGAAGTTCTGAGTGTTATAGCTTATAATTTTTAACTTTATATACTGTGTTTTACCTCTTTCGCCACCTATCCATGCTTTAAGTGAGACCGAGGAATCTGCCCACACTGCCACCTCTTCCACTTGCTAGCATCATACCGTCTTTTTGGTTTATGAACATACTCTAGAAGTCTTTTAATTACAGTAACTGGACACAATTGGTAGTTAAAGTCTGAGCAGACAGGAAAGTTGGCCATTTTAAATGGAATTGAGGGAGGCTTATAGGAAGTGTTCAGGGACAAGAAAGAAGATATTTGATTCTGTCGTTACGAACGATGGTCAAGGAACACTAATTTTAGTTGTTACTTCGACAAATTGTAACTTAGTGCCAAGAATGGTGCCGCTTGCCGGTAGTTTTGATTATGGTACCAAGTAAATTTCTGGGAATCCACTAGGTTAATGGTTCAATGCTAGAGGAAGACGTAGTAAGGGGTATTTTCTTCGATCTATTGAGGAAAGTACTACTAAATAGACAAATGAATAAGACTATAATTTTACTATTGCAAGTCCATTCTGAATAACTCTTTTCTGTTTCCAACTGTTTGGGACTTTCCGGTTTCCGCCCATCCATGCATTTAGGCGATTTTGCTAAGCACGTGTAAATCTGCAGCTGGAAAGGCAAAGCAGAACGGAATCTATGAAGTGATCTACGCCGCTGCCTGGATCTGTGGGGAATATGCTAGGTGAGAGGAAATCTTTTGAGATTATCAGTCTATTGTATAAAATTATATATATTTTAGATTTAATTCAAAATGTCGGCTTGTTTGGCTCGTATTTAGTTTAAGCTGGATTGTCTACTAATTTAGGGGTTATATTGGCTTGAATTTTGAATAATTTCTTGGTTTTACATTATTTTAAAAGGGTAGAATGTGATTAGTTTTAGCTGCATTTT